GGAAAGAGAGGATAAGCAAAAGGTTGCTGTGTAAGAGAAAAATATGGGCCCCATGCTAGACATAGGGGTGCTGAGATTCTCTACTATTCCAGCCTCTAATTACATAAAGACTACATGAATTATGAATCACAAGAGCTAGGAGGCAGCAGTCTGAACTGGGGAGGAGGGAACATAGCATGGTAGGAAAGGATTTTTCAGCCTTCACACAGAAAATAACATTTATGCAATTTTACACATGGTACATCTTCAGTTCAAAATGTTTTTCCTAGCAAATCCTGTGACTGAGAACTGTGAAGCATTTTAATTAAGAGGATTTTTCCAAAAAGGTCCTTAGGTTGCCTTATAATTCTAATTGTTTCATATAACTGGAACGAAGTAAAATCAGTGCAGGAGAGAGATTAGCTAACCTGTATACCAGAAAAAGATGCCCTTCTCTAACTTTGGCATGCTAACTGAAGCCACACCACCCTGCATCCCATCCCGCCACTGGCCCAGACCAAGTGTCAGTTGGATTGTCACTACCTAAACAGCTAGCAAATCCTTTGAATTCAATGAGACGGTCCATGTTTTCATCCAGGAGTCGGAATGTCCTTTCAGCTAAAACTTTAGTGTGCTCCCCGCATGTCCATGGTGAGACAAGTTCATAAAGGTTAGTGAACTGCTGAGAGTCTATTCTGTACTGCTCAGCATAAGGTCGATTTGGGTCATGTCGCTCAATTACTGGGCCCATCCATTGCCAGTAGCAGCTCATTAGATGCTCTCTCTAAGAGGAATCAAAAGTAGTAGAGAAGAAAGCATTGTTACAAACATTAGTAAGACTAGTAGTTGACACAGACTTATTTCATATCAATATTTCATATCAAAGTATTCTCAAGCAGTTAACCTCTTTTTGTAGATATAACAATACCAAGATAATTCCTAAGGGAAAAAAACTGCATGAGTTTCAAGTCAGACAAGTTCTCTCGTGATTTCTAATGGGTAATTTGTAGGTAACATTTTCAAAACAAGAGTTTTGCAATATTTTCTCCTGATTGCCTAGTAATTGTTTCTGGAAGGTATAAAATACACAGACACAGTCAGGTAAATCTCACGCCATTACTAAAAAAGAAGCCAGGAAATTAAATTAGGAACAAGACAAATAAGTTATTTGTAAAATAAAATTGCCAAATCCCAGGAAACTAAGTGAATAGAGAGGACTCCGGGTTAGTTTTTTTACTGAGAGGTGAGGACTACCCTCTAAAGAACATCAAGAATGTGAAACTGAAGAGTGTTTTTATGGTACTTCAGCTTTTTGCTGCACAGTGCAAAGAATGTAGTTTCCAGAGCTGTGCATTATTAAACCAGAAGTTGCTAGGAAACACAAGAACCTGATCTCACCCAGTCTTTTCTTGTACTACAGGTGAGAGGGGCATGTTAAGGTTATTCTGTGCTCTTTTAAGAAGTGTCCTGAGGTCTCTGAGGCCAAATACAAGCCCCACTATTTTAAATGGTCATTACATTTACTCTCTTTAATCCAGCTGAAAAGCCATTCAAAGGGAGAAAAACAACAAGGTGCAGTCTAGCACCTTATCTTAATGACAGCACTGTTGATAACACAGTAACTCTTCCTGTAGTTCTTCAGTGAAAGTTCAGTATAAGCCCAAATAATGGTCTGCATCCTAAATCCCATTAACACTGGAGTTTTCTGTCTTCATCCCTCCACTTCCAAACATACCAACCTTAAACAGGTCATATAGCTCCTCTAAATCTTCAGGGAGAATTGAAACATCTGGGATGACAACTCGGAGCTTAAAGGAAAAGAAGGAAAAACACAGTAGTGAATACCAACACTAGTATAAATGGCATGGATAAGAAACATGCCCACCCACGTTGTAATCTAACAGTGAAAAAGGCCAGCCAAAATGCAACATTTATGGTTAAAGCCCTGCAAATCCATGGATATTTGCTTTATATTTGCATATCCAGAATACCCACAGTTCATTTTTGCAGTTATAAATGCAAATACAGATATAAATTTTGTATCCAGAACAAATGTGTGGGATATATGCTCTATGTCTGCAGGTATCTGTATCTGCAGATATAAATGCGGATATCAGCGGCTCATTGTTGCAGATACAAATACAGATACAAGTTTTGTATCCACGCAGGGCTCTATGGTTGCATATTTCTTCCTCACTTCCCTTCAAATCTATCTTAGGGACATTATAAATACAAGTACCAAAAAACAAACTAAAAAAGCATCAGATAATAGCTCTCCCTTAACTAGTGCTGTAGTACCTGTTTAAATTTAAAGCACGCTTCTGTAATGTAATAATAGTTTAAAAACCTCCGTTCTAGAAAATTCTACTCACCACATTTTGTTTGGTTGTATCCTCATGGCTTTGCAGAACACGAATCCTGTGTTTATAGCGCATATGCTCTATCTGTTCCACAGAGTGGTCACCAAATTTCTAGAATATAGGAATAGATTTTTTAACGTTTCTAAAAATGTAAAAAGTACAAAGTAGTATTTTCCTAGAACAATGACAGACCTTCAATATATTTAGTTTCTAGGTCACCAACCTAACTAGGTATATTTACAACATGCCTATTATTGTGGTAGCTGAGTACCTTATGAAGGGGCTAAGTTACCAGAGTACAGTAATTCCTCATTTAACACTACAGGCAGTCCCCGACTTATGCGGATCCGACTTATGCCGGATCCGCACTTACAAACGGGGCTTTTCTCGCCCTGGAGCTCGCGGGCGGCGGGACCGCCCAGAGCGCAGCGGTCCCACCACCGCGTCCTCCGGGGCGAGAAAAGCTGCTCCGGGTCTTCCTGGTCTGCTGGGAGGGACTCCCCAGCACAGCAGGGAGACCTGAGCAAAGCCGCACAGGCGGCAGACCCCGCTGCCTGTGCAGCTTTGCTCCTTTGCCCCAGAGCAAAGCCGCACAGGCGGCGGGGTCCTCCGCCTGTGCGGCTTTGCTCGGGTCTCCCTGCTGTGCTGGGGAGTCCCCCCCCCAAGCACACCAGGGAGACCCGGAGCAGCTTTTCTTGCCCCGGAGGACGCGGTGGCGGGACCGCTGCGCTCTGGGCGGGCCCGCCGCCCGCAAGCTCCAGGACAAGAAAA